TGTCAACGTTCACAGGACTGTCTTATGCTACTCCTATTACATATGAGAGTGGTAAGACCTCAAGAGCATGTTGCTATTCTTGGAAACAAAGATTTCTCAGCAAACTGTTTCCTGTCTTTGCAGCCAGGGAAAAAAAGCATTTGACAAGGCTTTTTCTGCATATTGAGCTTGGAAAATTGAGGGAAAAATAATGTTCTCTAATTTCTATCTCTGGTATGTTTTAATTACTGGCCGTTATTTTAGGAATCACTTGTAATAAAAATGGAGATAGAGTTTGAATTGGAGTACAAAGTATTACATTGCTAGAACTATGTTTATATTGACTATCAATATGAGCTGAGAATGCTAGTTATAGAAGTCAAAGGTAACTTTTTCCAGTGTGTTACATTATCTAGTGTTAGAATGAAGCAGCCTTGTTATATGTATCTTTTTCTTAAATATGATGTCAAATGAACCATGTTATGCATATAAATTAAGATTATTTTTCTGACTATTTTTAATATAAATAGACTGTAGATTTGCAAACCTTAATTTTAACCATGCAATCAGTTGCTGTTTGCTTCCTTAAGGAAAAACAAAGCTGTCTTGTTACAGCCTTTCTTAAAATGTTTCACATGGTCAGTTTTTGATACAGCATAAGCAGCCCTGTTGTCATTCTGATAGTCTACATGTTTCAGACAATTCTTTCATTTAAAACTGCCCAAGAATTCCTCAGCAGAATTATTGGACTGTATTGTCCTTCAGAAGATGCTTGTAACTACATCTGGCTTTTCTACTACTCCTCTCAAAAGGTCAGAAAAAAGGTAAGAGGCATCTTGTGCCAAGCTTTTGTTGTCTGCTCCGAGAGGAGCAGCCAGGATTCCTCCCCAGCTGTTACAAACACAGTCAGCCTGGTAATGAGGAGAGCACACCGATGGGTATGACTTGATTTTAAAGATAAAAGATTTGATTTTAAAGATTAAAAAGAAAAAACTCACACATACAGTGCGTCTTTATGTGGTTTTCCTACTCTTCCTAAAACTCTTCTTCCTTTACTATAACCAAGTATTCCTTGAGCTGGGGGTTTATAAAATGTAATGAATGTCTTTTAATCCACAGTCTTCATATAAGCAACTTAATACTGTGCTGAAAATCTCTCATCTTAACAACCCAATCAATAACCTAGGTTTTAGATGTCCTGTCCTGTAAGCGTAGTCATGGATGGAGATGTCCAGTCAAAACATGACTAATTATGGACAGCCTAACACAGGAAAAAAAGGACTGTCGTGGCCATGTCCCAGTATGGTTTGGGTTTGGGTAATGCTTCTATGTTTTAAGCTATTTAGTAGCTCTAATGCTTGGATAAAATATTTTTCAGAGAAATCTTAAAGTTAGCATGGTGATTGCTAGCCTAAGATTCCGAAGTATAGATTAAAAAGTGATTTGGGGAGATCAAGTAATGAACACTAATAAAACAAAAACTTTAATTTTCCCTTGTTTTTAATGTGTCCTTTGAATGCTGTGGATGTGGCTGAAAAGTCTGGAGGAAATCATACCATGTGAACAGCCAGCACTGCTGCTGCAAATGTTGTACACTGGCACACTTGAAGTGTGATTCATTAATTCAGTATCTTGCTTGTAATCTCTGGTTTTTAAATAGAAAGCCTGATTAGGGTGCATTAATTTGGGCATTCAGTTTGGGGGGAAAAAACCATTCTGTATTGTATCAACTACTTTAAATTCATCACTGCTGAAATGTGTGTGACTAATTAACAATGGTAATTTTCCGTATGATTTGCTAAATCATTTGTCATGTTCCCATTTGCTGAATCATCAGGTATAGAATAACCAGTTATTTCATTTGATTTTAATTTTTTTTTTCTTTGAATTAGAACTTATGTCTTGAAACCTTACCAAGGAAGAGTTGATCTTAAAAGTTACTTTTGCTAAATTTTTATGGGGGACGGGGGAAGCGAAAAGACATTTGCTGTTTTAAGAAGATTTTTAAAGTAAAGGAAATGAGTTTGCGGAAGTTGAAGATCGTACAGCGTTTGAGGAAACTGCAGCCTTCCTGTATGACTTTGAGCAGATCACTAAACCATACTGTCTCAATTTCCTTACCCATAAAATGGGGGCAGTGAAGAAATGGAGGTAGTTGGAAGGTACCGCTTAGTTACTTTGTGTAAAAATGAATTTTTGGAAGGTAGAAATCATCCTTTAATGGCAAAAGATTTGCAAAAGCAGAAGTGCTCTTAATACTTATTACATCTGTTATCTTGCAGTTTTATCTCTCATAACAAGGATATATAAGGGGTAACAAGAATTGGGGGTTATAAATTTATTTAGAAAATGGTTGAACTAAATAAAGCAGTATTGCAGTGAAATCTCCAAAATGTGATGTGCCTGCATTTACCAAACTGTCACTGAACATCTACCTAACTATCACTCAGCATCAGTGCCTCTGTTTCACTATTAATAATCCCAAGTAATGCCCATTTTACATCTTGGTACTCCATTTTGGTAAAAGAGCCTCTTAAAAAAAACAACCCAAAACAAAAAACCCCCCAAAAACCTAGCAAAATCTGAGCAGGGTGCAGTGTTAATGCTCAGGCTTGCTGCTTCTCTTGTCTGTGCTTCCAGCAGCTTATAGAGTTCATTTTGCAGAGAAAGCAAATTTGGAAATGAGAGGGATGGTTTGTACAAAATTAAAAGTACATTGCTGATTAACTGCAAAGTAGTGTAAAAATACAAGCTCAGGGTAGCCCTGTTATCTGATGTACTTTGATTTCAAGTTCATCCTTCAGCCCTCATATGAAATTGTGTTCCGTTAAATTAATCTGGCATTTGTTTTCCCAAGGTTTATGGGTCGTTGACAGCATTAGGTTTCAAGCAGGCAAACTGCTCCCAAATCAAGTGCCTTCCTATGCTCTAGCAAAGTTGGAGGCAGTGAAGAGGGAAGCACACAAACAAAGGCTGGTGGAGGCTGGAAGTGCAGTATGAAGACAGCCAAGTAATTGTACTTGCAGCTTCACTGTTAGAAATGTTCACAAATTCCGTGTTCATTAGCAAAATGTTGACAAATGCAGTGTTAAATTACAGTTGTTCCTTGGGACTGTTTGTGTTGCTCCTCAGGACTGTTTTCCTAAACTCTAATTACAACAGCAAGCATAAAATGAGTGTTTCAAAGCCCCTTGGCAAGGAAGATGCACTGTCTGTCACACACAGAGTTGAAAGGAAATTGGGATCTACAAAAGGAACCGAAATCCACTTGGAGCCTTTCCTCACTGCCCCAGCAGTTTTCTAGTTATGTTTGAGATTTTTTGAATGTCACAATATGCTGACTGAATTTTTGGAGAAGCCTAGTGTGGTGGGCAGAGGCCTGAACTGCACAAGTAGCACCAGGATTCATGGCAAAAGGTGTCTTTCCCCAGCAGTGGCAGTGCCGGGCTGTCAGCCACGCTCCCTTTCATGGCCCAGCTGCTGCATCCTCTCTCTCCTCAGAAGGCAGCGGTAGAGCCAGAGCTGAGCATGGCACATGCCCAGGATTAAAAACATTACTGACATTGCACCTCTCTTCTCTGCTTTGAGAATTTTTGTGCAGAGAGGAACACTAGGTTAAAGCTATAGAGTGCCCCTATGTTCAACTAGAGGTGAGCATCCCTCCTTAACAGCTGGTGTTTGGGACTCCAGGTAATAGCATCCAGAGCACTCAGGGTAGCGTGGTGTTCTGTTTTCACAGCCAAGGTTGAAGGTTGTCATGATTTTTAAGGCAATATCAGTCTATTTGACACAGTGTTTCAGAGAATCGCTATTTTAGGGCTTTCTACTGGTGTGTCTAGTGGAGCTGGAAGGCAGCTAGGAAATGTCACTGGCACGTTTGCTCCAGGAACCTGCCTCTCTGACAGAGGAAAATACCAATTGCTTTAGTAGAAGATGAAGGAAATCAAGTAGCTGCCAACTCTAAAGTGCTTGCAGGCATTCTAACTTTGGCAGTTTGTGTCAGGCTACTGTTCTGAAGTTGGAGCTCTTCGACCCTGACAGACTGTTGCTATCATGTTGCTTAAGATATATATGTCTGATTATGCATGATTTTAGTGAGCTGCAGTGGGATTATCTGGCAATATCAGGTGGTTTGTAAGGGGAGTAACCTGTTCTCAGTCAGTTGAGAACTGTGTTAAAATTCCTATTTACAGCTGTGTCATTGACTTAAGCAATGATGAACAAATTTCTTTTTCTGAGGAAAAATGAAGTATATGAAAGATAGAGGGAGTAATATCAAAAGCATATTGGATTCTCTGATGAGGAGCAGGGCTAAGAACAGTGATTTAAACCAACTTCAATTAAGAGTCTTGCTCCAAAAGGCACGTCAGGAGAATTTCCTTGTCGTTTAGTACATAGCTGGCATCTGACACTTAAACCTTCTCTAACACCTCAGTGTGTGCACACACACATGCACCCAGTGTGTGGGAGACGAGGGTTTCTGGAGGGACCCGAAGAACTGAAAACCTCTCAAGAGAAATGAACAGCTGGCCTTGCACACACAGCCAGTAACTGGGAAGAAGAGGGTTTTATGTTGAGTCTGAATGAAAATCAGGACAAACATCAATTGTTAGTATGTGCCAATCAAGGGCATCTTGGTAAATTCCACGTAGAGAGAAATTTTAATTTGGAGCTAGTGTGCAGTCAGTAACCAAAGAAATACTCCAGATAAAAGTGCTTCAGACTTCATAGTATGAGAAACCAATAATTATGAGATAGAGTGAACAATACAAGGTAGAATTGCTAAGGGGATTAATTAGCCTTAGTCTAACTAACCACTATAATTGATGCAAATATACATCTGCAGCCTGCTGAGACATTAGATAGTCATCATCCACCTGCTCAATTTACCAGTGTTGCAGAACACAGCTGTCAGAATAATTTCTGGGTTTTTTTCCTGGAACTCCTTAAGCATAATTGACTGTTTGTTCTTTTGTTGTTCAAAATGTTTTCTTTTTCTTTTTTTTTCTTTTTCTAAACAGTACTTCCATGATGGCAGAAAGGCACAACAACATATTGAAACTTGCTGGAAACAACTTGAAGCAGTAAGTGGAAATTTCCTTTAATGTGACATTTAAGTCACTTTTATACTGTTTTCATAGTGATGGCTCCAAACATGGTATTTTGGGAGAAGGGTGTATGGATAAAAACTGTAGAAATAGGTTTTTTAAAACACCACTGTCTTAAATACACTAGTAGACATGAAAAAGTCTGTTTTAATAGTACATTTGGCTTTCTGTAGGATCTGTGTCTATCATGAGTAGCATTTAATTTGATGTGACTTGAAAAGTGAGCTTGCTGGAAATGCAGAGTCCCTAAGGGTCCTATTCAGATATTCCACTATATGCTGAATAGCTTCATACTGCGTGAATAAATTGAATGGCACCATCTCTTGAGTCAGGTGCTGTTTCTCAAGAGAAAATACATTGGAACTGTAATTCATGTGATGAATAAAAAGTGAGACTGTAAGTAGAGGAGAGGATAAAGAAAGGGGACATTGGTAACCAAAAGTCTTACTTGCAAATGTATCAATCTCAGTAGCTGCATTATTGTGCAGTGTAAAAATGAGGGAGTTCGGTGTTGGAAGGGAGTGATTTGGCCTACAAGAGCAGAAGAGATGCTAACAGGGAAAAATAGTGAAACACTAGTGATCTTGGTAGAATCAAGCAGCCTGAAAAATGGAACAAAAATATGCTTCTGGTAATTTTCTTTTGAAATTCTTTAATATGAAAATGTATTTCAATGTAAACAAACAATTCCTAAGATCTGACAGTTGTTAGAGCAGATCAGTTTGGGGGCAGGTATTGATTTTGGGTAGATTTTGATGTCATGTTTCTTTCCCATAATGAAGGCTTCTATGTTCCTTTTCAGAGTAAAAGGCGGTTTGAGCGTGACTGCAAAGAAGCTGATCGAGCACAGCAGTATTTTGAGAAAATGGATGCTGACATCAATGTTACAAAAGCAGATGTTGAAAAGGTAAGCCTGAGGGTAGAGAGACTGTTTGTAAACATGGATGTGATAGGTTTAGTTCCTGGGATAAACCCTCTGAGGCTTAATGCCTCTTAAATGAGTCTGTAGGTTAATTAAAAATATGGACACCTCTGTAGAGACCTCTATTTGCATAAAAATTCTGAACAGATACAGTCAGCTTTCTTCAGTAAGGTGATATGAGTGTAACATAGCTGATGTGGCTCTAAATAAGCTTATGCAAAATCAGTTTTAACTAACACCCCAGATTCTGTGACAGTCAAGTTTGTGAGGGCTCCTTGAGGCAGTTACCACGTATTGTTGGTCACTCTGATCCTGGTAGAACTAAACTTCCTGCCTTTTGAGCAGCACTTTGTGGGTATCCCGATGTCATTGGTTGCAGTGAAGTATTACCAGGATTGTTGTTCATGGTCCTGGGTTTACAGCAGGACAGATTTTCATGTTATGCAGAATCCTGGAATCCACACTTGTCACAGATGGAACAAAGCTTTTATTTTTATTTCTCAGTTACTGTCTGGTTGCAGAGTCATTTGTGGCTTTTACACATTGATCCCTATTCAGTGAAGCTTTTGAATTGATGCTTAACGTTAAACACACATTTCTGTTTCAGCATATCCATCCTGAAATGCTTTCTCTCCTTAGTTTGATTCAAATTAAACATGCCAAAGGATGCTTAAATTTTAACTGTCCAAGTCGAGTGATGTACCTGTAACTCAAGGAAGCAATGGAGAGGCAGAAAGCATGTTTAAATTGCTTCTCTTTTTGGTATTACACCGTTCAGAAGATGCAGTAACGTAGATCAGAAACACTATTACAATGTGTAAGGGCAGTTTTGTCTTCCCTGAATTTGATTCATATAGGTCAAAAATAGTAAATGAAAATAAATGAAAAAGAATCTCGGAAGATTTCCCCAAAGTGCTATTGCATACCAAAGGAAAAAAACCTCTGTGGTCCTGTCATTTGCTTGGCTATTAGTTATAAATTCACCATGCAGATTTGATCCTTTGTTGCCTTCTGGATTTGTCAGGGCACTTTCCAGATGAATGCACGTACAGGATTGTCAGAGATGTAACACCACATGTGGGTTATCCTGACAGAGGAGGATCAGCTCTACTTTATCTGTATGAAGTGATTTTAGAATACATTTTTTTCATAGATAAAATTAGGACTTGCCCTAGATTTTTTTCAAAGCTGAGGCCATGTCAAAGGGATACAGAGACATGACTTACTATTTGTGATAGCGGGCTGAAACTGCTTACTTCTCCATCCCTTTCTAAGGCTGGCCTTTTCTGGTCAGAGTGAAAGGCTGCATATTGGTGGTGTGTCAATCCAATAGCATTAGGTAAATTCTGGGAAGCAATCTCTACCCTGGTGTTCTCTCTCTGTAAAGTGAAGCAGAGGGGCTTCCCTTATAAATTTCTCTAGCTTTTTGTTATGCGTATTTATAAATTATTTATTGCAAAATCAGGCTCAGTAGTGTCTTCAAAGGAAAGAAAAAACTAAATCTGGTGCAGTTATGTGTGTTGGCTAATCTCTGGAGAAGGCATTAGTCGACTTTCCAGTCAGTCACTGGGATAGATGGAGAAGGAAAAGGTTATCAAAACGAGTGGAATGTGAAATAATATTACCGAACAGAGAGAACAGTGTTTTCCAAGTGCATGTGTTAAACTGGGTTCATCCATGTCAGGCTGTGAATAATGCCCTTTCTTTGCTCCCCTCTGCCCGTGTGACTGGGACCGCTCTTACATAACTCCCCAGTGCAGAATAGGACATTGTTTGACCAAGCGCTGCTCTTGGGGCAGCTCTCGCCGACTCACTCCAGGGAGATGCAGAAACTGCTCAGCTTCGAATGAAGCAATGTGATGACTTTTCCCTCCTGCTTTTACTGCAGCGGTTCTGATTTCCCTTGTCTCTTATGGCTTTGCTGTTGCACTCTACTTCCCAAAAGCTCCCAAAAATCTGTCTGGCCAGGAAAGCAGACGATTTGGCTGTGTTCAGAGCCAGTGCTATTCACTCTGGTGGAACAAGGTGCTCTTCAAGCAATGGGATCAATTGTCCTCATTTGTTTGGCTTGAGGTTTACACTTTGTCTACTTTAGCTTGTACCTGCAAATATGAGCACACACTAGTGCTATTTTTTGCATCATGCATTATAGAGTAATGGAATTAAAATCCTGCAGTGATCACAATGACACATGCAGTCAAAAGAATAGAGAGCTGCAATTCCCTAATGCTAAGCTGTAGGAGGCTCTGAAATGCTCACTTCTCTGTCTTTCAGTCCTTGTACAACTGCTGCAGGAAATTCTGCGACTGAACTGCTGGCCACCAGCACTTAACATGGCCTTGCCTAAGGGATAACTCTTGATATTACAGTTTGGTAGGGTTAAGTAACCAGAATAGTGGCAGAGAGGCAAATTAGGAGTTACTTTCCTCCATATTTCTCCAGGACTGTTTCATGAATGGCCTCAGGTGTGTGCTTAGAGGCCTAAGTCTGGGTATTTTATTTTGCACCCAGCCTGTAGGACCAGCTCAGGTTCATTATGCAGAGGGCAAGTGCTGTCTGTGCTGCTTCTGTGGCCAGTACGGGCTCAATCATCTTTGCAACTGGCCAGCTTGGTAGTTGATCTTGGAGGGTGTTTAGCTTTGTTTCCCCCCCATCTCCTTTTTTGGTGGTAGGAACATGGAGCAAAAGGCTGTGTTCAGTCTCTGCGGTGGTCATGGTCTTTATGCAGGAATCAAAGGAGAGTGGATTAGGGCCCCTGAGCTCCCTTCCTGTGTTTGCACTGAGCCTCTAAATTACCAGCAGCTGACATCTGCAGAGATGTTTTAAGTGTCAACACAAAGTGCAGTTCAACACAAAGGTTTTGTTTTGTCCGTTCAGTTTAGCAAAGTCAGGGCAGAAAGCTGAGTGTGCTGCAGAAAGCTGTACTGTGAAAATATCCTTGTAAACGAAATAAATGATGCAACACACTGATGCTGATACCGGGAAGCCTTGTAGTTATCACTGTAAGCTTTAGCTTCCTTGGGATCGCAGTGGGATGTGTGCTTTCAAGCAGTTCTCTTTCAAAACCACAGTGGAGCTGCTTCAGTGTTTTGACCATTTGGGGAAATGGTCTCTGTCACCAGCACAGAGCCTGTGTACATATAAGGCAGCGCTCTATTGTTTGCTCCTTCTCTTTAGAGCTGCAATCACTAAAAGGTTGACATCTTTATGGGGTAATGTGGTACCCAGAGGTGCCTTCACAGACTTCTTGCAATTAAAAAAAAAAATCAACTGGCTTTTCTAAAGGTTTATTTTCAAAGTAGACTTTTCAGAATCTGTTTCTAAAGAGGAAGTGGCTGAGGCCAACCATGGGAAGGGGTGAATGCTTTGCCTCTTGATTTGCACAGCAGTTGAGGGGGAGGACAGTGGTTTGAGGTACTTGGTGTCAGGCAGGATCTGTGCCTTTGCTGATGAGTAGCACAGTTATATGTTAGTGTCATGGGTTAATAATTTTGCAAGAAAATAACTTCAGCTTTGAGCAGTAAAAAAAGTGCGTGAGTTCCCAGAACTGCTGTCCTGAAGTCTGGGGTCATCACCTTGTTCTAATTTTTGTTCCTGTTATGTTAGGGGGGTTTTACCTTGAGTGGTTTTGAGATTAATGTAAATGTGTTGTGGATTTAGAAAGTAGTTTAGTAGTAGTACATTTAGAAAGACATAAAGTGCAAATTTTACCTTAACTCTCATAAGTCAAGAAGCTTCTGACACTGCTGAGAACATGGGGTGGGCATTTTGTTTTACTGTGGGTTTTTGACTGACTAATCTTTAAGTTTTCAACCTGTACCCAGAAAGGATGAGCTTGTATTAAGATTTTATTTGTATCCTGTGACATTCAGACATCTTTTCTGGGGCGTTGGTGTTTCCCTGCTGGATTTGCTTTCTTAGGTGCTTGCAGCTGCTTGAGCTTGTTGCAAGTCAGTTGTCAGTTTGAAATCAGAAATATTCCAAATTTATCCAAACTTGCATTCAAAATTATTATTAAAGAATTATCATTCCATTCCTTCCTCCCATCTCTGCCCAATCCTATGTCATATCTAAAACCAAAAGAAATAAAGACATTGATGATTCTATTCCTGTGCTGTCTCTGAGACTAGCCTTTGGTTGTTTGAGTTGGTTTTGGTTTTGAAGCTGATAAACTGAGGTAAGTAGAAGTAATCTCAAGTTTATTGAAAACTCCAGATTTCCCCAGTGCTCTGACTTTCAGATCAGGTTGTGTCTGCTGTATCCAAGATTTTTGAAGTCCCAGAATAGCTTAAGATTTGCATAAAGGCATAAAACCTCATAATATAATATCACCATGACATTAATTATCTAGTCTGTAAATATAACTACAAAGAGGTACTGATGTTTCATGCTTGAAGTTTCATTTTCTCTTCTTTTTTCTTATGCCACATTCCCTGGGTGCTCAGCATCGATTTCAGTGCAATGTAAAAAGTCTGTATCTCCTTCCTTACCCATAGAAGACACATCTGCTTGCATTATCTTGGGTAGTCATGAGCTGAACCACTGGCAAAGTTTTACTGAACGTAGATGTAGAAATACTGCTGCTTAGATTCTTGGAATAAGCTGCCCATGGAAACACAGTTATGCTGTAAAGTGGTATAAACTGTTTTTCCAGCCCATAACCAGCTGCGTTGCAGGACGCAAATCTCTTCATTAAGAATTTACACATCCCTACAATGAAGGGTGCACTAAGCTATTTTTACTTGGACTCTGGAGAAACCTCTGCTCTGTGTTTCAGCTCCATCCTGCACACACCGTTTACAGCATGCTCTGTCAGAACAGCAGTCACGTTGCAACAGAGCTGGGCACAAGGTGCATCGCTGAAACCCCATGTAGAGGAACATCTCCAGGCTCAGTGCTGTGTTGCTGCATCGTGTGTCCCTGGGGTTTTAGTCAGTTAAGACTATCAGCAGTAAACTCTGCAGCACCTGAGATTGTGGGTACCT